CTTTGAATGAACTGGTGTGGGCAGGAGACAGGTACAGCAGGATGGCAGATCCAGAGTGAATGAAAGGGAAACAGGAAGAGCAAATGGGAGAATACATGAGAAGAGAGTATCTTGTACCCATTGTCCTCCACTCCCCTACCCCGGGGAAATAAGAGACAAGGTATTAGACTGACTGCATCATTTAGTGCATTTGTGCAGGCGGGGCTCAGTTATTGGATTTGCATCTGAAAGGCCAGAGTTTTGACTTCAGAAGGCTAAAGATCTTGGGAACCCTTAGCTCACATTTTTCTTCTTGAGGGTTCTTGAAATCTTACAACTTATAGTATCTGCCATTGATCATTATAAAGGTTTCCAAGTGGAGCTGGGTGAGCTTATCCCTTAGGCTATTACATGGGTTTGTGCATGTTTCCTATCCAGGGTTCCCTGTCAATAAATAAGACAAATATTAAAATGACATAAATCTTACATAGCAAATAGAAGACAGATATTCTAAAACAAAAAGTATCAGTCCAGTTGTCCTTGGCTGGACCTAATTATAAATAAGGAAGTGTGTGTCGGCTGGTAGAGAAATCATGTTGGGTGTTATGTAGAAACCTGGAGCAGAAAAGCACTGGCCACTTAGTGTTTAGTTACCTCCACCACTTACTTAATGCAGGTGTCTCGGTTTGAGTCTCCCTGATCGCAGAGCCTAAGATGGGGACTTGAACCTGGGTACAGGTGGTTTATTTGGGATGAGATACCAGGAAGTAGAAATGAGGGAGTGGGAGAGTGAGAAGAGAAAGAGAGAAGGAAATACAGAGCTGCATTTTCATAGAGAATTTGATTCTGCCAGGCCCTCTGCAAAGAAAACCAGTACCTCTCCGAATCATCCCTTCCAAGGAAAAGGAGAAGGAAGCATTACTCCAACAGCTTCCCATCATCTTTAGTTAGACTGCTCCCAGTTAAGGACTGCTCCCAGAAATCCCTGCCACTCCCAATCTATACTTCTTTGAGCCAATTCCCATGAAAATAAGACAGCTGCCAGCAGGTGAATCTGAACTCCCAGGGTGTGTCCCTCAAAGCTGTGGCTGAAATCAGAGGTGGGTTAAGAGGAAGAGATGCAGAGTACAAAGAGCCTCGGCCACAACCCAGTGCCCAAAGCAGCCACCCAAGTTCATGACATATCTTTTCCAGCTCCCACAACAAACTTGTGAGTGGCAGGCAGCCCAAGAGTAGAATTCAGTTTCCTGACCCCCACCCAAAAGTAAAGCTTTTCCTCTCTTTATCATGCCTGCTCCAAAAAATTCAACCTTCAGCAAATCAATTAACCTACTTGTTCAATTAAATTGTTACCAACTGAAAGATAAATAGTATTTGTCACTGCCCTCATGAAGCATATGATTCACTAATAGAAACAAACACATGAAGAGATAATTTCTAATAACATGGGGAAGTCAACTAAGGAACTATAAACAAGGACAGAGAAGGCTGGAAGAGAGCAGTGATGGGGCCCTGAGCCCAGCAGGGGAGTGGGGCTGTGGTCAGTGATGTACCCTTGAAGGGGGCATTCTAGGTGCATGGAATGGCTCGAAACAGACACACACACACACACACACACACACCAGGAGGCTGTGTACTTCTCTTTTCCTTATTTGTTCCTTCCAACTTTTATATCTGATGACAGTGCATTACGCTTTTCCTTCATAATAACTTTTTTTATGTATAAGAACTTTTTTATGTTCATCCTATGAAGACAAGCTACTTATGGTTTTGTTCGTTTATATAGGTGTGTGGGATTTGGGGGGGTTGTTTGTTTTATTTCTCTACCCTCGGTACAAGCCTATTGAGACTCTCAATATTTGGTGAATGATTTAAGGAATGAGTGAGTGAGTGAGTGATATTTATAATCTCCTTGAATTCTATAACCTACAAGAAGATTCGGAGCGTTCTATAGTAGACAAGTCACAGGTTCATCGATTAAGAGAAAACAAAAAATCCAGGAGGTGTAATACTGCATCTCTAAGACATTTGATTATTTTATCTGTCCTGAAACAGTAGATAATGTTCCAGGAAAAGTTGTTCATTTCCATAATCTAGAAAGTATAAGGGTTTTTTTGAATTTTAAGAAAAATCTTTTATTGAAGTATAGTATGCATACAGAAAAGTGCACACACCAAAAGTGTAAAGCTTGATACATTTTTATGAACTGAACCCCTCAAGTAATTGTAATCCAGATCAGGATCTAAAACATTACAAGTATTCTGGAAGTGCCTAGCAAGTATAAATTTTAAATAGCTTATTGGAATTATTTGGATGTTTATGGATGTTAAGGCTTTATTCACCACAAACATCACCTCTATATAGAAATAGAGGGGAATACAGGAGTCCAGTTGCTCTTTTATAAGTTAACATCCTCTTCTTTAATATGTGTCTGGGGTTCCTAGAGCCCGCAAGCATTTTATGGAGTTGATGATGGGTATGTCCATCTAATCAGCACTCTAAGTGCAGGGCTTATGGTGTTGGCTGCTAATTGAACCTGACCTTGGTAAGTACATTGACCCCACAGTAGCTTGTCTGCATTCTCAATTCAGCAAGTCATGTGTAGTAAGGTTGGATATTTTGTTTTCACTTTTAATTTTGCATTCTTTGTAAAGTTTAATTTTTATGTGTGGATTACTATATAATTTGAATACCAACTAATATGTGATATACTTATCCAAAGGAATAATCTTTGGACAACTTCTTCAATAATTTTTGTAGAATTGGTGATGGATTGGTTCAGGTACATCTGTACTTAAGAGGCCTAGGCTTAGTTATGACTTAAAGCAGAAAGTTACAAAATAGTATATAAATTTAGAAAATATAATTTTCAGGGAGCAAATTCAAGCTAGCCAATCCATCCAGAATAGTCAATTTGAAAATTTCATTCTTTCAACAAACACTTACTGAGTATCTATTATGGGCCAAACATTGTGCTACATATTAATCCCAAACATCAAGGGACTTACAAGTAAACTTTCTATTTATATTAAATTACATTGGAAAATATTGCAAAGCCTCAAAACTCATGCTAGGCACAGAAGTATGCTGGGATCAATCAGCAATCAGTATGGAAAAAATTTTTAATTCAAGAGTTAAACTAGAAAGGAAGAAAAGTGATGCCTGAGTTTATTAACATGTTACATACTTATGGGCATCAAAAATGAGGTCAGTTTCATGCCCTAATAGCTAACACTTTAAAAATCAGAAAAAGAACTATTCTGGGAAATTGGTTTTCCTATATGAAAACATAAGTATTAATGGATATTTCAATATGAAGAGAATAGTTTCACATTTTAAATGTATCTATCTTGATACTGTCCCTTTAACCAGTCTGTTTTTCATTATTTTATGGCACAACGTTTGAATAGATTTAATTTCGACCACTTTAAAACCTTTGAGAGGATGATTCTGGTCTAATTCATTGATCTAATATTATTATAAATAATTATCTTAATTTTGTCAAATCCTTTTTAGCCAACAGAGTGATCATCTTGACACTTAGTTAAAGGGAAACACAAAAATCAAATCTAAATAATAAATTGAGTTAAAAGTTTGTGACCAGAACTTACTCATGTATCATAGGAAATAAAAACATAGCTATAGAATTTTTTAAATTACTATGACAAATATTCTATCCCACCAAACACCTCTATGTTCTCTTCTCTCTCTCTCTCTGTCTCACTCACTCTTATACACCCACACACCCACTAGACACAATCTTGTTGAGTCCTTTAATCAGTGGCCCATGAAACATTGTTCTTTGTCACTTTCCTTTTTTACTTTTTAGAAAAGGAATATGATAGTATCTGTTACTACGTAAGATAGTCAGTGGAAATTTGAAGTAAATTTCTAGATAGCTGTCCATAGTATACACTTTTTTTAAGTAGTAAGAAAATTGAAGAGTGTGTTGATTTTATATTCTTAAGTACCCAAATTTTACCTTCATTATACTTAATACATACACATGAATAAAAAGCAACGTTTGTAGTCTTTCTCCTCAGTTATATTGAACATACATTTTATTGTGAAGGCACTAGAGAAAAAAGGGAATATTCTTCCAAAATCAAGTTCACTTTTCCAGAGAACTGTTTCATATTTATTCCAAAGGCAATAAGAGTTCCTCACATCCAAATGACATATAGGAAGGAAGAAAAAAAAAAAAACACGTAATTTCCAGGAAGAACTAAAACTTTTTTGAAAACTTTTCTGGGTTCTCCCATTTCTACTTAGAAAGTCACTGAAGTGACAAGACTTCAAATAAGGAAATTCCCCTCTGATTATAACTTACACTAGGTCAGAGAAGCCTAGAGAAGTAGGTATGGCCTGGGGACACACCCTAGGAGGTTACCAGTTGTATAGCAGTCAGTCTCCTCCCTATGTAGAAAATATCCTTCAGACCTGACAAGTCCCTAGGGAAATAACTTGGACTTTATATAAAATGCCATGGAAATTCTCTTCTCTTCTGCCCTTCCTATCTTAGCTTCATAGAATCAATCTATTTCCAACCAAGTCATTTTCCTCTATATTTTCATAAACCTAACTATAAAAGGAGAAACATTCTATTGTTCATTTTTATGCTTTTTTATAAACCTCTAAAGTTCTTAAATTTTTTATAAATAAAAGGAATAGATCTTTGAAGGTACACAGAGCGTAACAACAAAAGGAAGGAAAGAGAGAGAAAGAAGACAAGATACAGAGAAAAGTACAAGTGGAATAAAAATCTCTTCTTGAAAAGAATTGACCCACCTATAAACCCATTCCTTCTGTGGTCTTTTAAAGATTACCCCATGAATTGAAAGGGACTAACACAGGCGATTCATGAGAGTAGGGAAAAATATTAAAACAGGGTTGTGCCTACTTTCTTTTGAGTCTCCCATCTTCTAAATCTCAGCTACCACCTAAACATATACCACAAAACTGTTAAGCATAGTCTTGGCAGCAGACCCCCCACCCCCTCCAAACACACAAGTGGAACTCACATTGGTCATCTCCTCCTTCTCCAGCGGAGCCAAAGTTATTCAAAATAAGTTGCAGACTCTCCCAAGCTCTGCCTCTTAGTCCTGAATTCCTTGCTGTTTCCAGTAGCATAAAAGCAACAAAGGAAATAGGATGATGGGTTCAAAAGCCAGAAGCACATTTTCCCAGTACTGCAAATTCCATGGATCCCACAATCTCCAAAATATTAACCCACAAGATGGCTCCCATCTTGGAATAAGGCCTGGGTGAGGATGAAAGAGAAGAATTTAGCAAGTAACACCATCACACACTTTACCGGTAGCACCAATCACTAGCACTCTATCCCATAGATGGTATTTAATTTAGTACACATCTGTTTGATAGACCTAAAGAAGTGAATAAATGAAAGCACAATAGCAAAGCATCAAATAAAGCTGGTACCTGGGGCCAGAAATATGCCATCTTGGAGACATATTTCTTTTGGATAGACTCACATAAAATACTGGTGTTGTCCAACTGTCTCAGTTGTTAACTTACCCACTTTTGGCCTTCATCTCTTAGCTGGCAAAATTCCTAACAAGACCTTATTAGTTTTGGGGGGGTTTTTTCCCCTTTTTCTGTCTTCAAATTTTTCTCATTATTAAGCAATTTATTATATTTTCTGATCAAAATTCCCCCTTTGAATTGTGATAGAGAAAATCAAGGTGCAAAAATAAAAGTCACTTGAGAGATCCTGCAGTGACTCAGCTGCTAACAAGAATTCAAATTGAGCTTTCAATATTCCAACATATAGCCCTAAATAGTATCATAATTATTGTTTGACCACCAACAAGAGGCCTTCCAAATGACCTTGTCCAGAATAGAATCTTAGTCATTTTTTAACCAGACAGTACACAAGCAAGTCTATGTATTTTCTGATACTGGCAACGGAATACTAGCTTAGAAATAAGGGAAATAATCCTTTTGTTCAAAGCAATGAAAAATCGTTTCCTTTTTGTGTGGATTTGTATCAGGGAGGTCATTTTGTTTGTTTGTTTGTTTGTTTACTAAATCTACAGTTTATTTGAGATTTAGTTTGGATCTTTTCAAATCAAAAACATGAAAGTTTAGGAAAGCTTAGCTCAATACCAAACAAAACAAAATATTTTTTCTTTTTTTTTTTTTTTTTTTAAAGATTTTATTTATTTATTTGAGAGAGAGAATGAGATAGAGAGAGCATGAGAGGGGGGAGGGTCAGAGGGAGAAGCAGACTCCCTGCCGAGCAGGGAGCCCGATGCGGAACTTGATCCCGGGACTCCAGGATCATGACCTGAGCCGAAGGCAGTCGCTTAACCAACTGAGCCACCCAGGCGCCCCAAAATATTTTTTCAACATAAAACTTGCCACTCATGGATTTTTTCCTCATTAGCTACACAAACCAGATTGGAGTGGATTTTAATTAAAGTAAATTATATTGAGAATTAATTGCAGTCTCCAAATTGCAAGTCAGAAAATGTTTGCTAAATATCCCATTCTAATTTCCAGAAAAAAAAATTCCTATTCGTTTCTTAACCAGGGTTATGAAGAAACATATGATATTAAGTTCCAGTGCCAAATAATTTTTGAAAAGAGGAAACACATTTGTTTAGTATGTTTGTTTCATACAACCCTCAATATTTAATACACTTAAATCTCATATTCTAATTATGCCTCTTAATATTATTAAATAAACTTAGCTTGACAATAAACACAAATTCCTAAATAACTATTACGCCACTTTAGGAGGTAAAACTATTTCTACTCTGATGTTCACCTATGTTTTGTGTTTGATCCACAACACTGACATTTGTAAAAAGTAGACACAGTAATTAATTATCAAGTACTTAAGTTTGACATAAGAAATATCAATCTGAGTACTATTCTCAAAGTACATAGAAGCTACATATAATAGTGGTTTTCAAACAGTTTAAGGCAGATACTAAACTGAATGGTACAGCCTAAAAGAAATATAGAAAAGGAAGAAATCTTATTGGCTAGAAAATAGTAAAGCCCAAAAAAGGCATGACAATTGCACTTAACTTGCTGAAGGACAGGAAGATAGCAGGGTTTCTAGGTGCTTTGAAATATGGAGGTGAGATACAAGTTAAAAACTCAGAGCACAAAGGTAGACTTGATATTTTTCATCATCAAGGTTATGGTATAAACTCTCAGTAGATGAAACTCTGTGGAGAAATTAGTGTATAAAAGAGAAGAGAAAGTGAAAGACTAATTCTTGAGAAACTCCAATGACTGGGATGTGGAAGGGAAAAGAAGACAAAAGTGAGGATGTTATGGTGCCACACAAAAGATGGGTAAGAGGTTTTCAAGGAAGGGGTTCTAAACAGAATCACATGCAGCTGAATAGCCCAAGAGGGTGAGGGTTTTTAAAAGGCCATTGATTTTCACTGGAAAGAGGTCACTAATGACCTTCCCACAAGCAGATTCAGGAGGCTAAAATTCCCTTCCAAAGTTTACAAACAAAACAGATAATAGAAAAATGAGAGTGAGCGTAGACTATTTATTGAAGAGTTGGTCATGAAAAGGAAGAAAATAAATTCAAAGTTTATTAAATAGGTATCAGGATCCAAAGAAAAAAAGTTGAATTGTTTTAAGTAGTTGACCTCTAGGCATAACTAAGGTCAAGAAAAAAATTCTTTAAAAGAAGGGGGGGAGGGAGGGAGGGAAGGAAGGAGGAAGGGAAGGAGGGAGGGCGAGAGGGAGGGAGGGAGGGCGGAAGGAAGGAAGGAAGGAAGGAAGGAAGGAAGGAAGGAAGGAAGGAAGGAAGGAAGGAAGGAAGGAAGGAAGAAGGAAGGAAGGAAGGTTGGTTGAGAACCCTAAGGAGGGTGGGGTGTGGTGAGGTGTGGGAGCAATGCCTGAAAAGCCTCAATCAGGGATGGGTCCCAAAGCAGAGAAGAAAAGTTAACTAGAATAGAAATAATAGTAGTTAACATTTATTGAGCAGTGTTATGTGCAAAGAACTGTTCTAAATGCTTAATGTACATTACCTTTTTAACTACTTAAAAAATCTTGGGGCGCCTGGGTGGCTCAGTCGGTTAAGTGTCTGCCTTCGGTTCAGGTCATGATCCCAGGGTCCTAGGATCAAGCTCCGCATCAGGCTCCCTGCTCAGCAGGGGTGTCTGCTTCTCCCTCTTCCTCTCCCTCTGCCCCTGCTTATGCACTCTCTCTCTTGCTCACTTTCTCTCTCAAATAAATACAATCTTTAAAAAAAAAAAAATCTTACAAGGTGGATATTACCATTCTCACTTCACCTATGAGAAAATTGGAACTCAGATAAAGTAATTTGCCTAAGATCACCCAGAATATATGAGGCAATGTCCAAACACACACTTATCAGACTTAAAGCTCAACCGTTAAAAGCTTTGATTTGATTCATTGCAGAGTGTCACAAGGTATAAGAGCACAGTCTTACCGTGATTGGTGTAAGTTATATTCTTAAAACTAATTTACACATTCACATAATATGGACCCCCACAACTTCTGATATTCAAAATACATTTCTTCATACAGTGTTTGCTGCATAGATTATTCTTAGAGAGGCTCTGAAGGTAGAAAAGGATAAACCCTTATTTCTGCAACAGTCTCCTTCCAAGGAGCAATCCCTTGATGTCCATGGGTGGGGTGCACAAATAGATGGAGTATATAAATTTGATTTCAGTAATTTTACTTCAAGGAGCCAAAAGAAACCCTTTTCTACCATGCTACCTCTTCATGGATATTGCATTGGTGTGCAAACCCCAAGCTAATACCCCTCTCCCTAACCACCTCTAATCACACTAAACCCTATCCCAGTGAAAAGACTGAGGAACAAGAGTTTTTATCAAAGTGAACAGAAACGTTATTTCAATCATACCTCTGTTGCTAAATTCAAATTATGCTTTTCAATCTTTTCTCACTTCTCCATGGAATTTGAAGCTGTTCCCCAAATACCCCTTTTGGAGTTCTTATCTCCTTTTGTTTTATTGACTATAGTTAGCCCTGGATTACTTTCAACCTACCTGGGTCTTCTTGCTTTTTACTTTTCACAGGCTCTTCTTCCTCCACCACATCCTTTAAATGTTGGGCCTTCTTCTACTATGCATCCTCTTTTTTCTCTTTCTTCATACTATCCCTAAAAAAACTCATCCTCTCTAATGACTTGAATTACCACCTTTATTGCCGATAAGTTCCAAAGCATATGTTCAGCTTGGGCCTCTCTTCAGAGTTCCAGATCCATTTCTACAACTCTAAGCCTCCTCATCTGGGTGTCCTGTAGAGGTGCCCCAACATTTTCCCAATAACCTGTTCTTCTTATGTAGCCACCCCTCTGATGAAACAGTCAATCAAGACAGAAAACTAGCAATCATCTTTGCAGGTTTTTTTATTTATTCATCTCCTCTTCACATTCCATCCAATCACCAAATTCAGTAAATTCAATTCCCAAACATCCCTCAGATCTCCTCTTTTTCTTCTGTATTATCACTTTGCATATGTAGGGCCTCATCTTTTCTTGCATAAATTACTTCTTAACAAAATCTGCTTTCCCTGCCTCCAATCTTAGTCACTTCAAACCTAATCTCCACACAATCTCCAAAGTGATATTTTTAAAATTCAAATCTGCATGTTACTCTTATTCATGAAATCCTCAAAGTCTTCCTATGATATATAGGTAAATTCCAATCCTTTAAGGGTGTTATACAATGGTCTTATACAAGGTCCCTACCCACCTCTCCACTCCCATCCAAGGCCACTCAATTTCTACTCTGGATCCCAACTCAACAAAAGCAATGTGGCATTTTCAATATGTGCACATACACTTCCCAATGCCTGAAATATGGTTTTCTTCCATCAGTATTGACTGACTCTTACTCATCCAGAATGATCACCTTCTCCAGGATGCCATATCTCATCCCATCAGTCAAGTTTAGGTGCCTGCCATCATGTTTTTTTAATGTCTACACTTTCCTCCACAATAACCTGCTTGAATAATTAAGCAGTATACTGGTCTACCAGTATAACTAGAATCTTAGTACCTTGAACGAATTTAAAAAAAAAAAAAAAAAAGGTATCTGGCAGCAGTAGCCTATATTAGTTAATAGCACCAGATCTACAATGAAATAAATTTGGATTTGAATCCCAAAACTTCAACTTATTTAATAATTGTGTGTGTGTGTGTGTGTGTGTGTAGGTGGCAGACCTATTTAAATTCCATCCTCTGTATTTATACAATATATTCAATATACAATA